GAAGCCTTTTTCGAATCAAATGAAATCTTTGTCAAATCGTATGAAACTTTTTCAAACACAATGAACCTTTTCAACTCAAAAGAAACTATTCCTAGTTTATAAGATATCGCCCGTTTATAGTTTGTGGACATCGCATCTACAACCCAAAAATTATTCGGTTTTGAAAAGTCTACTATGGTAACTGTTCCACTGTAATTATTCGTTCTTGTTCTTTGTTTCCTCTTACAACAAAGAACAAGATTTGAAAAAGATTTCGTTTAATTTGTAAAAAGTTTCATTTCACTTGAAAAAGGTTTCATTTGAGCTGAAAATGCTATATGGAGTGGTGGAAAAATAAAAAGGGACGCGTCATTTTAACAAATTGTACTCAAATATCACTCATTTTCTAACAAAAATCAAATAAACTCATTTTTCAAACTTTACAAAAATTATAAAAATTCTGCGAAAGTTGCATATAAATTCCCAACTTTTTAATCATATTTTTTTAGTATGATTTTATAGCTCATTAAATTCTAGTATAATAAAGTGCAAGTTTGAAATTGTAAAAAAACGCGTAGATTTATGATAATTTTTATAATTTTTGAACAAAGTTTGAAATATGAATTTACTTGATTTTTATTAGATAACAACATAACTTGTTAAAATGTCTCATTTCTATTGATTTTTCATCCCCTGTATACTAACTTATATAGTTTTTTTTTAGCTCCTGAACCGCTTTACCAAATCCAAACCTCGGTTCAAAGAAAAAAGAAAAACGTTTTGCCAAAGCAATCCAGAGGTAAAAAAAAAACGATTCGATCCGCTTTAACTTCGTGATATCACTACGAACGGTAACGGAGGCGCCAAAAACGCTGAGTGTCAAGAAGGAAATTTCGCACGACGGGAGATGTCAACTCTAGGAGAGCTCCTCTGAACCAATTAACAAGTAGGATCCTTAGTCCTCTTAACAGCTGCGACAGTGACAGTACGATGTGATATTTAATATCACCGCTTGAACCCCCATAAGACGTTATTCTGTGTATACACCAACCAGTATTGTGCATTGCAGCTTTGTGAACCCAGGAAGATCCCCTGGCCGGCCGCCTGCGGTGCACCTTCCTCCTTAAAGACCGTGCAGTTGAATGCGTTATTGTTTTCGTCCAGCGTTCGCTGAGCGGACACAAAGCCCATCTGTTCAAAAGCTGTTCGCAAGTAGCCAAAGTTCCCCCTACTATCTCTTTCATCGGTAAAATCGACTCGAGGGTGGCTTTCCTGGTCGACTCATTCGCAGCGCAGTTTCTTGCAACATCAATATGTCCGACGCGACCGAAAAATAGGTCAGACATTCCCATAATACGCACTATAGGCCAGCCCAGGATCACGCGGCATGCTTCCACAATTTTCATTTCTTTAACCTTAGGATCACTTTTGCGTTTGTGCCAGTTATGAGGAGTTGTGGCGTCTTTAAGCGTAAGATGATAATCAACCCTTTTTGGGGCGGACTACTCACAGCGCCTGATATACCACCCTCTGCACCCTTCAGATTATTTTCTGATTGCTACTCTTATCCAGTGCTTTCTACCGGACTAAGAGCTCCATGAATTATGATCCGACGGATGACTATGATGTCCTTACCGTATGATGGCTGTACCGAGTTTTCCCCGAATGCCCTTTCACAGGTCTCACTTGGATCTCACTATTTATTAAGAATTTTTAGATGGTGTTATTATTTTTTTCCATACAAAAAAGTGTCGAAACATAATGTCAGCAAAAAAATTATGAAAAATCCGCGCGAATTCTTAGCCACTTGAAACTTGCATACTTCGAATTTTTCTAAAAATTCGTAATAAAAAGTTGTTTGTTGTTATATAGTTTTGTTAAATTTTCCACAAACTAAAATTTAGACTTATATGGTTTTTGTGAAAAAATAACAATAAATAAATACTAAACTCAAAGAAAGAAAAGTAGTCAAAACTGGTCAAAATATAGTGTCCCTATTTTTTTTCAGACACCTGTATATAAAATTTGTAAAATAGTGTTTATGTTACGACTTTTTACAAAATTGTATTATTATTATGACACTTCCATCAAAATTTTTTTAGTTCACCTTTTTTCCATTGCTATTTATTTCACTATTCATACAGTTCCTCTTGATTTATTTGGTACCTGCCATGTACTCTAATTCGCCACATATTGTTCATTTCATTTGTAACTTTTTCTGTCATAAATATTTTTAAATATTCCTGTCATTTATTTATTAAGTGTTTGCTAGTTTTTAATTTTATTTTTCTATTTTTTTTTATTTTATTATTTTTTTCTTTATTTTAAATTCCCTTTCACCACATCGTTAGCACGTCATGGAGCCAGCCGCTACCTACTTTGCGCTAAATAAACCCCAGCATTCCCTAGCATATTTTCGCAACGCACACAGGCACTCACACTCAAACATGCATGTACATGTACATAAATGCACACGCGTCAATAAACATTTGTCTACTTTATTGTTTTTTCTTTGTTTTGCTCAATTCCGCCGACGCATTTGCTGCTAAGTAGCGGTTTAATTTCTATTATTTCTAATGTTATTTTGGTTCACAGCATCACGTCTCGTTATGTATGCAGTACGTAACGCTAATTCTGGAAATGAAATAAATTTGGCTGTTTTGTGCAAAAGAAAATTGAAAAGAACTACAAGTGAACAAAAAAGGTCTAAAGTACTTTTGCAAAACAATTTCGATTATTATTATTTTTTTTCTTGACGAGCCTTGGGGTTTTCTTTTTAAATTTTTCGGTGAAGACACTTACATTCGGCAATAAGTTTTTTAAATAGTTCTATTACAATAATCGAAACACTTCCTTAACAAAAGTTTAATGATTTTTGGTAAGCTGTTAATTACCGGCATTAGGGTGGTACAAGAAATATCAACATCTTAATGTTGAATGCGGCACCCCTTTATTTTGAAATTTCAAAATATTAAACACATTTTCAGGGGTCGCTACCAGACTTTGAAAAAAAATACAATAATAAAAATTCGATTCCTATACCGCTTAGTTATAGCTGGGCAAAGTAAAAATTTTTTTGCGATTTAAAAAAAATATATATTTTTTCAAACCCTGGTAGCGACCCCAAAAAAGTTTTTGTTTTAATTTTGTGCATGTCTTTATTTTGTACGTTAAACAAAATAAAGGGGGTCTCATGATTTTGATATTTTACACATCATATGTAGACATGCAGATATGGGAAAAATAATAGGTACACGACATTTAGACCAGTTTTGGCTATTTTCCTTTTGTTTGTTATATGTTTATTGTTTCTTAACATTATCTAACAAAAATCAAGTTAGTGGAAATTCCAAACTCTGCAGAAAAAGTAGAAAAATTCAACAATTTTTACAGCAACAGCAAACTTTTTATTAAGAATTTGATTAAGAATTCGAGTTGAGTTTTTATTTTTTTTTTTGCTGATGGTGTTATTTTCTTCCATACAAAAAAAAACAAAAATCCAGCAAAACAAAAATCAAAAATCAACGCAAGTTCTTAGTCACTTGAAACTGGCAAGCTAGAATTTAAAACCGCATTCCTGGAATTTTGCTAAAAATTCTTAAAAAAAAGTTTGTTGTAAAATTTTTTTAATCCTAATTTTTCCTTAAAATTTTAAACTTGTACTTATGAGCTGTATTTTTATAAAAAAATTATAAAAACTAAATACACATTAGAAAAAAGTCAAAACTGGTTAAAATGGCGCGTCCCAATTATTTTTCACATGACTGTACATATGTATGCTCTACTAAGCTTATTTTAGTTTTGTACAACTGTTAAATGCTAGTTTTTTGCATTTCTTTACTTCTTTTTCCCGCCGTTTTTCTGCAATCCTTCCTCAACAAATTAAAAATCAATATCGACGAGTAAAATTCTTGGAATACTTCTTAATTGAATTAAATATGTATGTATTTTTTAATAGCAGTCTATTTATAGAGGCTGAGAAATGCCAGTTATGTAGTTTAAAACAAGAGAATTGACTAAGCGGTTGTAATGGAAGCCTTGTTTTAAAATGCTTGTTTCTTTATATATACATTGTATATCCGCGCTGTGTAAACAACGTCAAAAGCCGCTAAGTTGTCAGCAGAGATTTTCTAAAAAAATATCTCCCTCATTTCCGGAATTAGAAGCATATAAAAATCAAGGATTTTTTTAGTGTTCGAAGGGCTTTAGGTACGTAAACAGGATGTATAGCATAAGGGAGAACATAGCATTCTCTAAATATTTACAGTATATTTTAATTTTATTTATTTTCCGGGTTCACTTAACGTTTTTTAATCCCTTTGCGTACGTCTAGTATTCATTATCGACATATTATTATATGTCTATTCCCGTACAGTTCTCGAATTTTCCGTCGGAATATTTATTGATGTCACCGATACCATGTTTATTGAGATTATTTTCAATGCCGTAATTGTTATAAAGATTTCATAATTTTTTTAACAAACGAGCTTACTATTATGGTTTTCGATATATTTTGTGATAACGACTAATTTATCGAAATTTTGTACAAAATTTGTTATCGATTTGTCTGTCAATATTGTGTCTGAAATGTATAAATAAATTTTTGTAGATTTTTATTTCCTATATACACCGATATTACTACCGATAAATTTGTGGGAATATATCGATAACAATATCGGTGTATATTGGTAACAAAAATCTACAAAAATTAACTTTTGATATCGAAAAAGTTGTGGATTTGATAGCCATCGGTGTATACTGGTAAAGGCAGTCCATAAAAGTTTACTTTTGATATCATTTTATATTGTATTAAAAAAAAACCTAATGAAAAAATGCCACATTCTTTTTTCCCAAAAGCAAAACTGCAAAACTGGGAAAAGCACTGAGTTGGAATGTTTGCGTGCTTTCTCATTTACATACATACCTCCTTTAGGAGTCTGTTATATATTTTAATTCGAACCCTTTTTGTATTAATTCCATGTCGAAAATTCCAATAATCAAACTTCTCTTCCGCGTTTCAGGTGCGTGTGCGTGGCAAATGATGGCCAAAAATGGCGGCTAAACCACCAAAGCCGCCAGCTACTTTTCTGAAGCAAAATAGTCACGGCAATAACAACGACAGCAACGCCAACCAAGTCCACAACAACCACAACAACAGTGATCCTAGCACTTCCACTGATTTAGCATCACCAAAACACACAACGCCTACCTCCGCAACGACGGGTACACCCCTCGCTGAAACCTTCAGCAAGCTGGGTATACGGCGTTACAACAGCCGAGACAATCTACTGAACAACATCAGCAACGATAACAATAACAGTGACAGTGGCATCGACGCCGCCGGCAATAATTCGGAGGGAGCGGCTAGCGCACGTCCCGCTTGCAATTGCACGAACATAAGTATTATGCATCTCTTTCATGAGATGAAGCAGGAGTTCCCCACCATACCCGATCCGATTGTAGCGCAGTGCGTGAACGAGAATTGCCATCAGCGTGAGAATTGCATACAGATGTTGAGAAATGAATTGGCATTGAATCCGACACCAGCGCAAACTTACCCAGCGAAGGTGTTGCAGCAACACAACATCAACCAGCAACATAATAGTGCCCATCAGTCGAAGCCATCGTTTCAACAACAACAACAACAGCAACGTCAATTTAGCCCCCAGGCGCAGACGTCGCCACAATCGCCACATCCGCAGCCACCGCAACGTCATAAAAACGCTGTGTCGCAAAAACCCGCTACGCCGTTGCGTCCGATTCGCGCCGCGCCAACACAGCCGCCGCCGGGTACGCTGCCACGGAAGCGAAGTGACGTGAAAACGAATTGTGATAGTGTTGAGCTGGTGCAAACAAATAATAGCAACAATAATAACTGCAATAATAGTGGTCACTTGTTGAAAGATGTTAGTAGTGATCATTTGCCGTGCAATAACCACAGCAGCAGCAACAACAATAGTGTCGGTGAACTCACAAGTCAAACGTGTGATATGCCCGCGGCCGCTTCCGCCACCACAAACACACCCGGTGAGTGTGCGCGCTCAAGTGATTTCGTAGCGGCGCTCAATAAGCTAGGCGCAACTCCGCCACCGCCAGCGCTAGCACCGTTGATAGCCACGCGTCCGCGCGCGCGACCCAATACGCTTAACTTGCAGGCGTCCCAACAGCAATTGCAACGGCAACAGCTGAACAAGCAGTTACAGCAGCATTTGCAGCAGCGCTGCCAGCTCCAGCAACAGCAACAGCAGCCATCGACCGGCTTGTCAGCGGATACGTCGCAGCAGAAGCCAATACGTAAAGCGCCGCTGCCTCCGATCGCGCCGAAGCCCGTCTTTCACAATCAAACCAACAATAGCCACAATCTAATTAACAACAACAACAATAACAGTTGCGGAAATTCACCACAATCACAAAGCGGTGGTAGCTACTCGACCGAATCGAACTTGACGAGTCCGATAAGTTCGTGCGGCGAGAGCGAATTCGCTGTCAATGTGGGATTGACATCGCAAGCTTTTGCGCTCGGCCACAACAATAACAATAGGCATAACAACAACAACAGTCACATTGCTTCCACTGCTCCAGCTTATCAGCAACAACCTTCATCGCCACTCAAATCGCCGATCCGTCATCGCTCAGTTATCACAGTGCAGCCAGAGCCGCCATACGCGCGTGATTTTCTACCTCCTTCGAATATTTCCACAAGCGCTGTATCAACTTCTTCCGCTGGCGGTAGTGCAAGTAGTACGCCAACAAGTCAGAAAAGTTATACCTCAGTCAATTTGACATTGCGTCAACCCACCGCCGTCGCACCACAGTCAACAATCGACATATCGGCCGGTCCAGCATTGAGCGGTAACGGTAGTGGTCTTACCTATTCCAGCACCTCGTTCGACGCTCGGCGTGGCTTTCAGCAAAATTTCCATATAACGGTCACTGATCAAGGTGGCGTCTTCAATGCGAGTCGCATACGACCGCGCAATAGTAGTAATTACGCTGGTGTGGAACAACAAGATGGTCCAGGTGGACCAACGGGCGGTATAAGTCCGACGGCGGTTGCAACGCACCATCAACAGCCGCCAACAACAACATTAACATCGCCAACATCACAGCCAGCGCATATGCTGGCGGTGCGAGGAAGTCAACCAGCAACTACAACAACGACAACATCACCAACAAGCGACGATATGTGCCTGCCATACGAAAATAGTGGTAAGTTTTTCTTGAAGTGAAGTCCAGTCGCCTTCTGGCAATCTGGAAGTAATTGGCTTTTTTTTCGTTTATTTGATGGTGGCTCAGAGAAAGAAAGATGTATTAGTTGTACTTTTTGGTGAGCTTTTAGAGTCAGCCTAGCTCTGTTGGTGGAAAGGGGTGTTAAAGGGAGGATTTAACTTCAACATAATTTAGTATCAGGTTCAATCCCGTATTCCTCGGACTAAAACTTGTAAAACTGTCAAAAAATAAAAATTTTGTATGTAACACACTCAGCTCACACATGTAAATAACAAAAAGACTTCCAAATTCATTAGAATCCACTTAAACAAGTATTTAAATAATTTTCACCTCACACTAGTCAGAGAACCGAGTACGGGATCGATTTCCAGTAAGATGTGACTATTTCCACTAGTCCGGACTCCTATGGAATCGCAACTATCGTTATAAAAAATTCACAGTTTATTTTTGCAAAAATGCTCGAAAAGAATTATTGTCAAAATGGAATACTTAGAACGAACGAGAGAACAAACCTTAAGTAGACTTACAGTAGGCATCGGTAACGATGTTAATACCTTTTTTACCACGCAAGGAGGAATTGGGTGCCCACTTTAGAGCAACATTCTTCAGTGTCTGAAAATATTGATCTATTCGCAAGCTAGGAAAGTTTGTTGTTTCCTCTTTGGAGCACTGATTCTAGATTCGGTGAAAAATCCTACACTCATGGGTGCAGCTAAGGTGGATGGAAGCGCACAGAGGATGTGCTCCACAGTCCCTTCATTCCGCGTTTCCCACAAATCTTTGCACAAATTGGAGCAAGCTTAAAGGTATGTGCAACTAAAAGCCCTTGTCCTGTTAGTACACCAACTAGAGGCCTAGCGCCCTCGCTCTTAAGAGATAAAAGAAACTATTCTAGACACCTGGCAGCACCGTCGCTACCTGCTACAGAACGACTTGATTGGCGAGTCTGTCGGCCTCCTCGTTGCCAGTATTCGTCAGAACCCCGAACAACTACACTTCCGTTCGTATAACTCAGTCATGCCTGCTTTTGTACTCTACCGTACTTCCTCAAGAAGTTGGGTGCACTATGACTGTCGATATAGAAATTCATTCGTGCCATTGCGTCAACCTTCAATCCAATAGTAGTCTCCACATACACCTTAAAGTTCAGGCCCAGGAACATATCGCGTGTTCTTCAACCAAAATCTGAAGTAGGGCATTTTTTTAAGTTTCCTGAGTTAGGGTGTTTCGAACCGACTGCCGAGATAGGTCGATCTTCCACTCAGCCGTCGATATAGGCTATTCCTCCAGGAAATGTTGTTGCTATACTATGTACTGTATACAAACTATTCCGTGGCAGTTTTGTACCCCATATTCTTGGATGTCCGGTCCGCCGTCGAAAAATTCAGCAAGGCATGGTATCAAGCCGTCGGTATAGTTCTAAGTTGCGTTGTCATTTTAATCATAGATAGTCCATATTTAGCGTCTATTCTTTTAAGAAATATTTTCTTCTTCATTATTGCACCACAGTTCAGTACCAGTAAAACAGTATTCCCCTGTAACTCTATCTGGCGTAGACTGCGTTGTTTATCCAGTTTAAATGCCTGCTCAGTTATCCACGTATATATACCATGCCAATGCCCTCGTGCACCATTTTGAAATCTTTATCGAAAATCGGATTTTATTTACTTTTCTAGTGAATTTGTTTGTTTTCGCTTTAACATTCTTTAACATTATTATTAACATATATACATTATTATTAACATATATATATTATTATTAACATATATACATTATTATTAACATATATACAGTAACTCAAACAAGTATTCCCGCGCTGATTTTTTTTTAATATACACAACGTATTTCAATAAAATTTTTATTTTATTGTTTTTTAAGTTAAGTTTTTATTTTATTTTTCAGGTCCAAGCCATATAAATCAAAGTTTCAAACTTTATACAAAATTTTGGAAAATTCAACAAATTTCATTGAAAATTTCGAACTTTTTAATCTGCATCTTTTCAACATTTTTCGTAATGCAGTTTTATAGCCCGTACAATTTTAGTGCATGTTTCAACTGGCTAAAAAATCCCGTTGATTTTTGAGAATTTATTTTTTTGTGTCTGCTTTCGCGTTTTTTATTTTTTATATAACAAGTGAAATTTATTTATTTTTTTGTTTATTTACAGAAACTGGTGTTGTTTTTTTGAAATTTTTTTGTGAATGGTCTCCCGCATTTTATTTCACAAAAAAAAAATCTCAAAAGCCAACGGGATTTTTTAGCTGCTTGAAACTTGCACTTCGTGAGACTAAAATTGTATGGGTTATAAAACTGCATACACAAAAAAGGTTGTGAGTTCAGCTTAAAAAGCTCGAAATTTTCTGAAAAATTGTTGAATTTTACTAAATTTTTTTACAAAATTTTGAACTTTGATTTATAATGTTTTGGCTAAAGCTTCGACAATATTTTTATAGAAAAATAACAAATAAACTTTGGCTTTAAAAACATTGTAAATATTAAAAAAAAAATCAACATGTGAACACTTGTTTGAGTCACTGTACGTACATACATACACACAAACAAATTATTTTATTTCCTTTTCAAAGTCAGGTGCACCCACATAAATTATTAACGACGCAATAACAATTTTAATCAATCTGATAAGCGTAGCGATTACTTTATGTGTTGGTAATGTTTATTATTATAAATTTGGTTTGTGTTTCTTACTTTGCGCGTCTTTGTCTGCCTTCGAGATTTGCGACACTTTTCCTTGTAAGCTTCATAGCTAAAAATAGGTAGAATAATCTCATACATACATACATATGTACATCGCACTGATATGTATGTATGTAGAGTGGAGTGCGTTATTGTCCTTTGCATAGTATGTATATGTATGCCTGGATATTTTACTATATCATCGTTTCTGTATTGGAAAGTTATGCTTGACCGTTAATGTAACAAAATTTAAGCTCGGCACACTCTGTATACACCCACAAATTATTAGGATGCCAAGGTAAGGCAACGTGTTGTGTTTCAAATGTTTATCGGTTGATTGATTAGAAAAAACTACATGCAAACATACATATGAACATACCCAGCAAACATTGAGGTTAGTTATCGATTACAGAATGATTGGAGAACTAGTCACATTCTCCAATCTCAAACGTTAGAGAACGATTCGAAAAACTATCGAGAATCATAGCGATCTCAACAAAAATGGGACATAGTTCTCGACTCGAGAAAATATTAATTCTCTAATCGAATTCTATTGTTGATCTCTAATGGGATTCGAATGTGAATTTCAAAGTGCTGTTTTGCTTTATTAAATAAAACGCTTTGTTTGTAAAATTGGTTTTAAATGTATTCGCAATAAAATAATAATGAATTAATTGAACTTAAAAATAATTTATGACTCATTTTATTTGGAATATTGCTTATTTACATTCATTGGAATTTGCGTTGTTTCTCTAATCGTTCTCGAGTCGAATTCTAATGTAGTTCTCTAACTTCGTCATCGACTCGAGAACGATTAGAGAATTACCCTAGTTATCTAATGTAGAAATCCAAATTTCTCTAACGTTAGAGACTGTGTTTGCTGGGTACATGCTACAATTTCAAGTAGTGCATAAATATATGTATGTATGTATGTATGAAATTAAGTTCACAGCGCTCTATTTGCACTTATTTATTATATATTTTTCATTTGTATGCACATGTAAATAATATTGTTGTCAGCTTTTTGCATTTTTGCCGACGTCATTTTCTGCTTAAACTAAATTAAGTAGATGATAGATTGTGAAATGCAATGTTTTTTTTTGTACATATGTATGTATATTTCTTCCTACATATTTGTATACTCAGTTATTTCATTTTGTCGCTTGCTTTTGTTATGTGTTCAGCTTTCTTATCTAATTTGCTTGCTTTTTAGTTAACACACATAAATATGTATACAAGCAGGAGCATACATACATATGTGGTATAAATGTACATATGCATGTATGTGCATTAGGGCGGGTCAACTTGTATTGGAGATTTTTTCGACTATGGGCGTATAGCACAAAAGAATCCTTCTACGTGTAGTTCTAAGAACATTTTCTGAAGAAACAATGGGTCTAAAATAAATTTGGAGTTTGCCATATTTCGAAAATAGGTTTCTTAGCATTTTGCTATAGTGCCGTAAAGTAAAGTGCTTAAATTTTGTATAAAAACATTCTAAAAGTGTTGTTTTTTTTTTGTATGAGACGGCCGTTGTGGTGAGTGGTTAGCAGTGCGCCCTACCAATCTGCAGCACCTGGGCTCATGCCCGGTTCAACATCAAAAAATAAAAAACCAAAGTTTTTTTCTAGTAGCGGTCACCCCTCGGCAGGCAATGGCAAACCTCCGAGATTATTTCTGCCAAAATACAATCTCGCCGTTCGGAGTCGGCGTAAAACTGTCCCCTTTGTGTGGCAAGCTTACCCAAACACTACGTGTAAGCGCCTATCTATTATTATTATTAAACCATTTCTGCCCTTATCTTTTTCTTAAAACATTTTCTTCGAAACCTATTTTCGCAGTTTGGCAAACTCCAAATTGGTTTTAGACCCATGGTTCCTTCGGCAAATTTGCTTAGAATTATACGTAGAATCCTCCTATGCCATACACACATATTCAAAAAAAAAATATGTAAATGATAACAATTCAAAACTTCTTGGAATATATTTCTTAGCAAAAAATTATTTTGAACTAGTGTTTCGAGGAAATTACATATACATATGCATATGTATGTGCTTTAATAAGTATGATCTATTTTTTGACCCGCTTTAGGCGTTTTAAAAGTAATTAGATTAAACTATTCATCTAATTGATAATTACACTATTTTACAAGAAATCCCACCTGTGGCCCTACACCATTTCCACTTATGTAAAATGCTCCGCTGAATCTGAATATAACGTCAAAACATAATAAACTATAATAGTTTTTGAGATATAGACAAATTTCGGTTTTTTGTTAACTTTT